AAACAACAATATTTAAAATTACCAACTATGGTTATGTTACCATCTAAAACAGCTAATCAACAATTTTTATTACGTATTCTTAAAATAATAATACAATTACGTGAAGCAACGAAAAAAGAACAAATCAATGCTCAAACACATTTTGAAAATGAACTTCATTCATTAACACGTCGTCTTGCTACATTACGTCAATCATTACGTTCTCAAATTCCATCTTATAATAATAATCAACAAAATGATATTCTTCAATCAATCGATGATTTATCAAATCGTTTAGAACAAATGCGTGCCCGTTTACAAGCCGTTTTAAATTCGAATACAATTGAACAACGTCAACATTTATTTTCTCAATGTGAAACAATAAATAATACTCAAGATATTTACTGTTTAATTCGACAATTTGAATCATAAATTGAAAGCCATCATGAGTCACCATTATCAACAACAATGACAACACGAATAAATGATGTTTTACAAACAATTCCACCGTTATTTCCTCAAGTAACTGAACCGATGGATCTCGGGCAATTTTTACCATCACAACAAACGAAATTAAGTGATTTATTAAATATAAATTCATTAAGTGATTGCTTATTATCATTAGCCAAATTACCTGATCAACATGCTGTATTAGTTCTTCAACCAGCTGTTGAAACATTTTTTCTAGTTCATGCTGCTGATTTAGATAATGAAAATGAAAAAACAAGTCGAAAGAAAAAAGATCGTGAAACATGTGAAGCTTTATCGCATTTAGAATGTTTTAGTCCAGTATCAACAACAAAACCTGAGGACCGAGGTGCACCTGATGAACCTCTTACTCTACCTTCAGCAACAAACACAACAACACTAGCTGATTCATCAATGTCAACACTTATTGTACGTACTCCAACATCACAAACAATATCAACAAATGACTTACCATTAGATGCACAAAAATTTGTTGAATTGGCGCGTACACATCGTACTGTATTAAATCAAATCTTACGTCAAAGTACACAAAATTTAAGCGAAAGACCATTTCATATATTAACTAATTATACATCAATACTTGATTTTGATGTTAAAAGAAAATATGGGCGGAGAAGATTTAACTGTACATGTTAGACGTAATAATGTATTCGAAGATTCATATAGAGAATTAAGTCGACGTTCATCGGAACGTTGGAAACATAGATTCTTTGTTGTATTTGATGGTGAAGAAGGACAAGATGCTAATGGTCTTTTACGTGAATGGTATTCAATAATAGCACGTTCAATGTTTGATCCAAATTATGCTTTATTTATGATCAATCCAGGTGATCGTGTTACTTATATGCCTAATCCATTATCACATTGTAATGCAAATTATTCTCAATATTTTAAATTTATTGGTCGTATTATAGCTAAAGCTATATTTGATAATAAATATATGGATTGTTATTTTACACGATCCTTTTATAAACATATATTAGGTGTACCTGTACGTTATACGGATATGGAATCAGTTGATTCACAATTTTATAAAAGCTTAGTTATGTTATTCGAAAATGGCATACATGAATGGGATTTAGGCTTAACATTTTCATTAGATGCATTTGAATTTGGTGAAAATAAAGTTATTGAATTAATACCCAATGGTTCAACTACTATAGTTACAAATGAGAATAAACATGAATATGTTAGACTTGTTTGTCAAGAAAAAATGATTGGATCTATTAAACAATAAATTAGTTCATTTTTAGAAGGTTTTTATACGATCATACCGAAGAATTTAATATCCATTTTTAATGAACAAGAACTTGAATGGTTAATATCAGGTTTACCCGATATTGATATTGAAGATATTAAAGCAAATTCAGAATATCATAAATATAGACCGAACTAGGATGTGAGTTCGGGTGTGGATGCTTACGCATATTAGTCCATGAGAACAGAAGCAACCACACCCATACCCTATCGGCTACAACCTAAGAAACAAAAAGAGGAACAGGGATGTGCCCATGGGGGGGTACAGGGGGGGCCCGGCCCCCCCCCCCCCCCCCCCCCCCCCCCCCCCCACTTTTGAAAAGTAGTGGTTTCTTTAGCAAAATTGTTGTAGAACGTTTACTATAAAATCTGGATATTACAAACTTTCCTGAGGGGGAGTACAGGACTCTATACGTTGGACCCCCCCACTTTTTTCCTTTCGGCACATTCCTGAAGAGGAACATGCTTGTGCGTGCGTTCAAATTCGTTATCTACAATGCTACAGGATAGAACTGCGTCATCCCTTTCTCTACCATCTTTATTTACATGATAAATGCACTGAATAGAGATCTTTTGTTCTTTATTTTAATAAAACTTAAAAGCAAAATCGATTATTTCATACACATTAACGAAAAAAAGATCTATCAACCTGAAACATCGGCGACAACTTTATTAGATTAATCATCATAGTAATAAAAAGTCAAGAACAGATAATATGTTATCCACACAAAAGTAACCATTTTCTCTCTGATTCAGTTCAACAACTAGAACATTAAAGTTTCATTACTTGTAATATTCAGCAACGTTCCAATCAATCCCAGCATCGAAATCTCAAACACTACAATGAACACTTCCATAACTCACCAAAAACAATCTGAAAGAAAATTCTTTCTTTCTATCATACATAAAACAAATACAACAAACATTGTTTCGACTGTTCTATTTTGGAGTGTGGGTGTGGGCGTGGGTATGGACCTCGGTGAACAGAAGATCGATAGCCACGCCTACCCCACACACCCACACCCTTTTGTATGAATAATTATATTACGAAAAATATCGTATTCTTCGAAGAACTGGGTTATTCATATTTTCTTTTCACATACTATGATGTCTGCATGAAAAATTGATTTTCGATAAGGACACACAAATTTTGATTATTCTGTTTTGATATGAAGTATTTTGCAAAAAATAATCGATATTGTTTGTGAATAGTCATGTTTCCTATTCGGTCAGCTATAAGAAGAGATTGATAGAGAAAGAAAACTGTCATTGTTTAAAAAAATGTATATTGCATATTTCGTTTCGAATTTCATCGACGCTCTATGGAAAAAATGACTTTCCTAGTATGAAATGTATTTCAAATGGCTTACTTTTAATAACAACTATTTTGAGATAGAAAAATCGATATACTTGATGAAAATTGATGTCTCGTATTTCTTTTGAATTCATCGACCCAAATTACGTTTGGTCAAATTCCATGGCATTCTATTTTTTCCTTCCAAAGCTTTTCTTTTAGCAGAAAAGACTAAACTTATCCACTTTGGGAGTAAATTACCTTCGATGGTGGATGACAAAAAAAAAAGCCATTATAAACCGCTAGACTGGATTCAGACTGGTAGACCGGTTTCAGATCGGTATATCGGCCGGTCTAAAGTCCGAACCGGACCGGATCGGATGGTTCCCGATTCCGGTTCCATCTATGATGCAGAGCGCTTCTCGGGCATCCCTACAAGAAATTGGATTTCAATATACAAGATAGTTTTTACGAATTTCATATAGGCTTTGTGCAAACAACTGGAGAATGGCCCTTCACAGTTCACCTTCTCACTGAAGCACAACTCGACCACTTTGCCAAGTATTGCAAAACCGAAAGCTACTCTTATTTACATATTGATGCGACTGGCTCTGTTATTAAAAAGCTCAAGGACCAAAACCCTATATATTTTTACTCGATGGTTTTCAAAGCTGGAGAAGATCCTTCCAATACTTTACCACTTAGTGGGGCTCTTCTTTGTGACCACACAGTTGCTTCCATCACTTCATACTTCAATTGTATACGCAGTAAACTTGAGCTACGTTCCAAAACAGCACGTCCATCTTTCGCGGTTATTGATTTCTCTCCAGCTATACTAAATAGTGTACTCAGCTCGTTCAACACCGAAAGTATTAAAAATCATCTTCGTCGTTGCTTTAATACTCTGAATTTTGCATATGACTCATCTCAATTACGCAACATGACATTTGTGCGACTTTGCTGTTCACACGTAATGAAGGCATTTTCCAGAAGTCTCCATAAAATAGAAAAAGCAAAAGACGCACGTTGCCAAATAATGACACTATTTGCTGTGCTATTAAATTGCTACAATGTGAATGGTGCATTCGATTTGTTTGAAGAAATCATGAATGTTTATGCCGATCCTTATAATCGACAATCGTCAAATATTATCTTCACTTCTAAGTCAATCAAATGATTATGAATTTCCTGTAGAACAATACTTAGATGATTATGAAAACGATGATGATACACCACATTTTCTCGATGAGATTGATATTACGACCGATACAATAATTCACCAGTCGCCGTTTAATGTCAAAGCATGTGATCGGATACCAACTCTCAAAGAACTGATTGATAAAGAACCTTTGAAGATAAAAGCAACTAATCCACGTTTTTCAACCAAGATTGTACAGCTGTTTTATAAATGGTTTGCTTATCTTCCTCTATGGTCAGGTATCATGGTAGAATTCGTTGACAGGCAAGTTTGATTTTGATCTAAGTAAATTATTATATAGATATGTACAATTGGGTGTCGGTGTGGGTGTGATTTAAGAAAATAATCGAATTAACAATGGAAGTATGTATAATAGATGGCAGGTAAGTATATAAATAAAGAAATAAATATATTTTAATAAATAAATATGAAAAATTGATCAATGATTCTTTAGAAAAAAGCAAAAATAAACAAATTCTGTTTTTGTTTTTGTTTTTGTTTTTGTTTTTGTTTTTCTTTTCAGTTTATATCTAGTTTTTTTGTATAATTTTCAGTTTATTATAAATGTTTTTTCTTTCGTCTAATATTTGAAAATAAGATAAATAACTTTTGATCTTTTTTGAACCTTTTAAGAAAAAATAAATGAACTTGAACGAATTTCAAGTCAAAAAACGCAAATTTTGGTTAAGTTAGAGAAAAAAATGACTTTCAGCAAATTTTAAGAAGAAAACTTGAGCAAAGTTGTAATATTTGTTTTTAATGAGAAAAATTGACCTTAGTTTGTGTGTTTCAGTGGAAAGAGCAGAAAGTTTAATAAATAAATAAATAACTATGTTTTGTGTGAGCAAAGAAAATATGAATTTGTTTAATGAAGAAATGTGCTTTTTAGAAGAAAAAGTAATAAATGTTTTTGTGTTTTTTAAATATTTAGATTTAAAGAAAAATGAGCTTGTTTTAAGATATGAGAGAAAATGAGCTTGTTTTAGGAGTTAAATAAAAAGTGAACTATTTTTGGTGAGAAAATAGCTATTTTTTAGGTTTAGACGAGAGCAAACTTGTTTTTCAATGAATTTTAATATAATATTTTTAAAATTTTTAATGTAATTTTATTTAATTTTAACAATAAATAAATAAATAACAGTAAAAAATTGTAATACGCGACGCGTTTCGAATATTCTTCAGGATATGAATGACTATCTCAAGATGGCTACCGTTCTATCTACTCGTTCTTTCCTCTCGTCCTATCAGGGTGTGGGTGTGGATGTGGATGCGGGTATGGGTGCGGCTATGGATGTGGGTGTGGATCTGGATCTGGATCTGGGTCTCTTCTTCACCCACACCCACACCCACACCCACACCCACACCCACACCCACACCC